TCGAACGGCCCACCTAGACAAGTCTACCAAACAACCATTACAATTCTACAAGTCAACAAAACAAGTCTATCATACACTGAGACTATTAACAAACAATTATATCTAAACCCTGAAACAGCAAACAAACAACTCTATCACATATGCTATCCATAAGAGTCACAACAAACAACTCTACCTGACTATAAAATAAGTGAAATATACTTATCACTTAGTAATCTACCGAATATGCCTGTAAAATTCCTTCGAAAAACTCACCGGGAAAACAATTCGACGAAGCGCAGTTTCAAAAACTCTCAAGACTTTCGAGGAAATCACCGCGGAACAACTAATTCCTGCACCGGAAAAAAAAATTTAGGGTTAGACAGTATACAGAAGACTTCGCCGGTGCCTCCTCTGGCCGACACATCTGACGACGGTGAAGAACGCGAATTAAAAAACGAAACAAACTAAAGATTTCAGGAAAACAAAAAGACATATAAAAATTACTTACCAGAGATGCAGACCAGGCCGATAACAAACGCCGATGAAGCAGAGAACGAGGAAACACCGGAAAACTGGGTTTCTAGGTCGTCATCGTCTCGTCTAAGCCGTTGTCGTTGTTTGCAACCGAATCGCCTCTAGGGTTTCTGAGAACAGTTTTTTTTCTGGAAACTGAAAATTTACTTTTTTTGTTCAACATTTATTTAGAAGAAAGTTATAATTTATCTATTCTATTAAAACAGAAGCACATTTAGTACTTGCATCCAAACACTCCTAAAGTTTTTTTTTATAATATTTTATTTTATTTTTATATTTAATTTCCGAAAATTATTTATTAATTTAGATATTTTTAGATTTCCTAAAATCTAGGTTATCTTTTAAATTTCAAATTATTAGAAATTTAATTAAATTTAGTTACAAAAATTTGCATTCAATTTAATTTAAATTCAAAAAATTCAAAAAAAATTATAATTAAATTTATTACGAAAATTTAGATAAGAATTTTAATACTTTAAAATTTCTTAAATACAGGAGAGATTTAATTTAAAATTTAAAATTTAAATAATTTTTTATAAAAATGCATAGTAAATAAATATTTTATCGTATTTTATCATAATCAATTAGTCTAAAATATCAAATATTTGAAATTAATAAATATTTATATTATACAATAATATGATCGAGCTGATTAAAGTTATATATATATATATATATATTTAAGGTCCATGAGTTAATTTATTAAAACATGTAAGATATTAAGATGATTTGAGACAATTAAACTAACAGGTTAGCCAGTTTATATATATATATATATATATATATATATATATATATATATACATTTTTTTAATAGCACAAATAATAAATAAATATCTTATTATATTTTTTCATAATCAATTGGTCCAAATATTCCATATTAGTAAATATTTATAGAGTTATACAATTATAATTATAGTCTAATACGGTTAGTTTGTCAAAACATGTAAGATATTAAAAATGATTTAAGACAACTAAACGGATGGATTGGCAAATTCATAGATATATAGATTTTTTATGTGTAAATCTAAATTCACATAATAACAAAGTTTATAATTACCATTAGATCAATGTATACTTAATTAACGCATACTCTTATTCTACTAATTTACAAAATTAAAATATGATAACAATTTTTTGATTTAAAAAATAAATAACAAAAACAAATTATATCTAAACAAAAATGATAAATGCAACTTATATTAGAAATAAAAAAGAAAACATTCTCGTGCGGACGCACGAGTTTAAAATCTAGTTGTATATTTATTACAGTATATTTACTATATTTGTGAATTACGAATTTATAATAGATAAAAAAAAAAACTGATTTTCATTTGTAAGGGGTAAGACTGTCTTTTCCACGCTTGTAAGGTTAAGAATAAATTACATTAAAAGGCACTTTTCAAGTTTGTATTCACAAAATAAGACACTTTATGCTATTGATACACTTTTATGTGGTGAAAGACGAAACAAACCCTCTCATACTTCTTTCTTCTTTTTTATTTTATATATATTTTTTTCTTTTCCCTTATTGTTTGTTCTCTCTCTTCTCTTCGTCTTAAACACATCCTCTTATGACAAAAAAACACATCATCTCTTTTTCTTTTTTTCCTTGTCTCTCTTCTTTATCTTTTTCTCACCGTTTTTGCATCTTTTTTTTTTCTCAAACCCCAGCAATTTTGACTTCTATAATTCAATTGAACATCTTCAATTGTGAAATTATGGGGGCGGAGAAGATGTAATTAAATCAACCAGAGTTACTTTTTTAGTTTTTTATAAAAAAATATTTGATCTTCTCTCAACTTTGTAAAAAAAAAAAAAGTCAAATGATTTGTGTTTATTATATTCTATTATTTTCTGGCTAATCTTTCACCCAACAAAGGAAGATAAATATAAGTTATGTGAATAATCTCCTTCTTCATTGATATTTTTTTGTTATAGCCTTCGTTGGACAAACTGTCCAATTTGTCATGAAGAAGTTGCGTTATGGATAATATAACATGGACAAATTTGTGTGGATACAAAACTACTCTTTCAAACATTTGTTGAACATGTTGAATGCGTTTTATGGATAAATTAGCTAGAAATTTGTGTAAAAATGTTATCCACGGCGATATGTATATTAATTTTTTTTTTGTTTCAAAGAATAACATATCCACGAAATTAGCAATCCCAGTCATTATAATTTGTCTATTCGGTGGATATAATATCATGGATATGCTGTCTAATTTGCCATGGAAAAATTGTCTAGTTTTGTAATGGATAATGTAGCATGGATAAATTTTCGTGGATACAAAACATTGTGTAAAATATTTTTATGGGTAAATTGGTTAGACATTGTGTAAAATGTTGTTCATGCTAATATGTCTATTGAAAGAATAATATATGCATGAATCTAGCAATCACAATTCTTGTAGTTTGTCTATTCTGTGGATGAAATATTGTGGACAAGCTGTCTAATTTACCATAGACAAGTATTCTAATTTCTCATAGACAGTGTAGCATGGACAAAATTGCGTGGATACAAAACTACTCTTTCAAACATTTTGTCGAACACGTTGAATGCGTTTTCTGTTCTTTCACTTTCACCATCACTAAATAATTTTTTCCATGAGATTTTGACTGAGTATCTTAATGTCGTTTATCTCTATCACTGAAATTGAGTCTTAAATTGTCTCATTTATCATCTTCCTCATTTCTTATTATTTCTTGCCTAAATTCAAACACACCAACCAATTTCTTACAAACCCATAATTATCAAACCTGAGTAATATAAAAATTAATATATTTCTGATTTTATTGAACTCAAAAATCAAAAGAAAAAAAAAGTGAAGAGGTGTCGATGATGAAGACAAGAGAAAGAGGGAAGAGAAATTGATATAGAAAAAAATTGATATAATGAGAGAAGGGTAATATTGGATTTATATTAAATGAACAGTAGAATAAGTGCCTCAATAGTAGAAAATGTCTTTTTGTGTAAGAGTAAGTGTAGAATGTGTCTTTTTATGTAATTCACTCTAAGGTTAATGTAGCAAAAATGTAAGGGACCTAGGTTACTTTTGCAAACAGGCATATTTGTAAGGTCATTCTAGTGATTGTTCTCTAAATAAAAACAAAAGGTAAAAAAGCTTTCAATCAGGTTTCCACTATAACAATCAAAAACCAGTAGAAATCTTCTCCAACTTTGCCCATTTCACCAAAGTCTTTAGAAATTTCTTCACCTGAAAACCACAAGTTAACACAAACAATACATTACAAACAAAAATATATATCACATCATGTAGCATATGCCTTATATATTAAACCCATTTCAAGAAAAATTGTTAAATGTTTTTTTTATTTTAGTTTTTACCTCAGATGGATCTCTAAGAGAGTAAAACGCATTGCTTTCTTTTGGTATAGACGATACCAAGATGCCGAAACCTCGGTTCCCATCTCGAAGTACCTACAAGATTCATTATGTTTATCATTGGGTTGTTTCCATTAAACAATTCATAAACTGTAATTAAATTTTGTTAATATGGAACTATAATTGGAAACATTAGTTACCTTGAATGCATCTTCATCAGTTGTGTCATCTCCAATGTAAATAGGAAGCAATTCGTCTTTGTTGCTTAACCCTAACAAGTTTTGATCAAACTACGAATTAGTAAAACAATTATTGGTTTTTTCAAGGAGAAAACAAAATGAGATTAAAATTGTATACCGAGAGATTCTAATAGAAACTCGACCGCTCTTCCTTTGTTCCAGTCTATCACAGGACGAACCTCTAAAACCTAAAATACCAAGAAATGATTTTATGGTTAATTATTAAATAAGAGTCAAATTTTCAACTGTAAACATGATATTCTCAAGTATATAATCTATAAGCTAAGCATACCTTCCTCCCATGAGTGAGACGCAAACGAGGGTATTGTTTCAAGTGGTCATGAACGCGTTGAGCAATGATTGACCAATCCTAGAGAAACACAAACAGTTTCAAATCCATCAAAGTGTTGAGCAAAACTCAATAGTTTTTTTTTTTTGTTTACCTTCTCATCAACGTTACGGTAATGTACAGATGCACAGAACTTGTGATTCTCTACTTTTGCACCTTTAATATCTTTCATTTTCTCAACAAGGGTTCTAAAAACCTCGTCGATTATCGGTATGAATTCTCTAGCGGGCTGAAACAGATTCACTTCCTTTCCCTAATAAATCCACACAAATTAAATGTGTTCAAAACTAAAACACAGTTTGACTTCATTGATCATCATTTAGCAAAAAAAAAATGAAATCATTTATTTTTTACCTGTTGGTCAGTCGATTTGAAACAATTCGGATCATTAAAAGAAGTCATTATATCCATTCCATGACTACCCGCGTAATAAAGTTCTGTTAATCCTACCAACTGATAAACCTACATATAACCAAAAACTTTATTAGTTTTTACGGCTTATGCTTTAGGGTTTACGGTTTAGAAATATTACCTTGTCACGGCTTCTACCGCTAATTATCGCGGTTGGGAAGCAACTCGCGACATCTTTAACTGCAGAACGCATCTGAGACACCAAAAAGTAACCTTTTGAGCATATTGTTGATGACAAAAAAAAATAGAACAGAACAGAGTAATTAACGAAAGAATATTAGGTTTTTTTACTGCGTCGGACATAATGGCACGATCAGGATCATCAACTATTGGAGAAAGAGTACCGTCATAGTCAAGAAACACAGCTATCTTCTTGTTTTTTGCTTGAGCTGCGATATGCGCAAAAGAGCTAATCGCGGACGGATACTTGAGCTGTTTCGGATTCAAGAATATATTGGTGAGGAGGATAAGAAATCGGGAAACACGTTAGAAATATAATACATTCTTACTAGTTACGTACCATCCAAGCACGTTGAGCAAGGTCATCTTCTGGAGCAACTTCGACGTTAAAATCTTTAACTAGCTTCTTGCGCGGTGGAGAAGATGAAATCATTGCATCTAACCAACCATTGGATTTAACATCATCGAGTTTTGCAGGTTTCTTCCATGGATTCATCATCAATCTACCAGAATTAGATACCATTTTTGAGGATACGCCGTGTCTTGATTTGTTGATTGGTGGTGTAGGATCTTTCAGAACAGAGGATGTGTGTTTTGGGTTTAACTCCATGACTTTATATATATGCTTCGATGAAAAAAACAAAATTCTCTTTTTGGCTTTCTTTATTTTTTTTTTTAAAAAAACACTTTTATCCAACTCGTTTATCTACGAAAAACCACCTCTTCATTGTTTTCTTGTCACTGCTTCTTGGTGAAAGTATACTGAAAACTAAAGATAAACAAAAAGAAAAAAAAAAAAAACAGAATTCAGAATAGGTTTGAACTTTTTTTAATAAGATTCTGATTCTTGATTATATTTTGAAGTACCAAATCATCATCTCCAGCTATTCATCCTCGTCTTCTTTGATATACTTTCAGATTTAACCTTGATACCTGTTTAATCAATCGCACACAAGAAAACGAAGTCATTCATACTACAAAGTTTTTTTTTTGAATATGCTTTTCTTTAGAGATTTGAATAAAATAAAAATAAAAAGTAGGACATTACATAAAAAAACAAATGAACATTTCTTTTTTGTTTTCCATAAAAGTATGAGTAACAATCAAATCGTTTTCATAAAATTACATTTGTTACAAAAAATGGAATTCCAGTTTTTTTTCATAAAAGTATGAGTAACAATCAAATCTTCTTGTTTTATTTTGTCGTAACCTTCGTGTTTATTATATATATACAGAGGAAACATCAACATCTTTATACCAAAAAAATTATATGGTAGGTCAAACTTTTAAAACCGAACACCGACAAACTTCTTAAAACATCACTCGTGTACTCGACAAGTCACGCGTATATCTAAATAGATAAAGTATAAAATTTAGTTTAAACATGTCAAATCAGTCTCCAATTATGCAGAATTTTAAGAGTTACGTTGTAAATTATTTTCAGATTTAAAGAAAAAAATAAAATAAGGTGAATTTGTTTTTATGGAGCGTTTAATTTGTATAATAAATTTGGAAATTTTGAGGCGCAGAGTTCTAGGTGTACGGACAAAATTGCGTGCGTTTTATTTCCAAACACGACGAGTTTTTTTTTTCAAGGTATGTAAACTATGAATTCTTTTTTTTTTTTTTTGCAGAAACCAATATTGTAATGTACGAGGAAACAGAAACGGATATAAAAATACAGAGTGAGAAATATTCTATGAAGATAGAGAAAAATGCTAAGAAAAACAGCAAAAAACAAAATTCTAGGTTTTAGAAGAAAAAAACTAAGCTAATAGATCCAAAATTTCTATAAAACAATTAAGCGATCTAGAAACAGCACCAAGATAATTCAAGTAAACAAAAAAGAAAAACAAGAACGTGGAAATATTAGTTCAAACCTGATTCAAACGAGCTCCAAAGGTAGGGGAAAAAAACTTCAGAAGGATGAGGATTTTTGTTTCCTTTGATCGAAGAAACTGAAACCCAGAGAAGGCAAAAAATGTTTAAAGATTTGTGGACTTTTTTTTTTTCAAATTGTGAAAACCCTAATTTAAAGAGAGTCGAGAATGTAGGAGGAAGAGGAGAAAGGGGGGGGGGGAAGAAGAAAGCGGAGCGGTTTTGGTTTTTATAGACTCTCTTATATAAATAAAATAAGTCTATAAGACTCGAGAGAGACGTGTTTAACAAGGTTATCACGCGTTTTGTTTTTCTTGTTGTTTAGTTTAGTTTTAATGTAAAGTAAGTAAGTGATGAGTCTGTGACTAGTCATACTCATTTATAAAAAAGGAAAATTCAATAAACAACTTTATTTTCTTTGGTGAAAATGATTTGGGTCCGGTTGTTAATTAATAATTTAAAAGATTTTTCATAGTAGGAATCGACCTTCGTATCATGCATACAAATTTTATTTAATTATTTTGGTAACAAGCATACAAATTTTTATGGTGGTTTGTTTATGTTTATTCAGTTTGTTTGAAAGTCTGAAGATCTTAGTTTTATATTAGTGTATTAGCATTTAGCACCAAATGACTCAACTTTTATGAATAGGAAATAACATTTTAGAACGAATTAAGAATGGTAGTAGAAGTCTAGTTTTATTTTCGTCTCAATTGAATTTTTATTTTTATCTACCAATAATTAAGTTAGTTAACACATTTCTATCTAAATCGTCGTTTATCTAAGTTGTCTCCATTTTTATGTAATTTTTACCCCATTCACCCTTATTTGATGTACATACATTCTATTTCTTGATAATTATGATCGTATGTGTAACAGAAAACACAAATTTCAGATGATTGATATGGCGTGGAATCCTTGTTGTAATTTAGCACAAAAAAAAAGTCCTTGTTGTAATCAATTTTTGAACTTTGAAGTTAACTTTTGAAAACATGTGTGCGTTAGAACTTAATTTACGTACCTAAAGGCTAAAGATGCTAACACGACTAATGAAATCAGTTTTCTTTCTCAATATGGATACGTAAGATCTCTGGGAATCGATATATTAAATGCACTACATTTATTTTTCTCTCTTTGTTAAATGCAGGAAAGGATAGACTGGTCTTATCAGTTAAGAAAATATAGCTGGTCTTATTTTTACTCACTTGTTACATTTGATTTTTTCTTTTAAAAAATAATCCTTGGCATATCACAAATATGAAAAAAGACAAAAAAAATAACGAGGAAGCCACAAATCAGCCGTCAAATTCATCATATCAACGGTCAAAGGCTCCACAACATTTTCTTTTCTTACAAAACTGTGTTTTTTTATCTTATCTGCTGACAAAAAAAAAAAAAAAAACATAACGGTAGGACGTTGGTTGTTATTCATGAGTCCGTTAACATGCACGTGGCAATGAGTCAAAAGAGGCTAAAAGAGTGTAGACGACACGTGTTGAAATGATATATGACACGTCCACTTGTTAGTTGGGCCTTAGATGGGCCCCTTATACTTGAAAAGGCAACAAAAGAACTGGCCTTTTTCTTTCTGTGTTCACTTTTGTCTTTCTCGGCACATAATCCTTGCTTTACAACGTTCGCGATGTTTTCCCCAGTCCCCACTAACTTTTTTAGATGATTTGAGGTAACTAAGTCGTTTTTCTTTTTCTAAGAAGCAAATATAAATATATTTAGAAGTAGAACTGAAGATAATGAGCTTACCAATGGAAGTTAAAAAAAAGTTGAGTTTACCGATAAAAAGCTCAAACTATCATAAAAACAATGGTATTTTATTTTATCGTGCATGTTTTAAAAAAATATATATATTTTAATAGTGTTTTTATCAGTTCAACTAACAATATATTTCCAAAAAGATATGCGAGATTGATACGGTTAATATGCTCGGTGAATAAACCACCATATTGACCTTTGATGATTTTTTCTTTGTTTGTCAAAGAAATATTATACTAAGGTTTTAGTGGACCCAAAGCGATTTTAGGGCGATTTTTCAAACCCCATTTTCTTTCTTTCTCTTCGCCGGCTGGTCGGCCGCCGGCGTCTCTGAGTCCTCTGATGCTCCGAAAGAAGAAAAAGGCGCGGCCCAAAGCCGTGGGTACCTCCAAGTTTGCTCGTGCTGCGACAATCTCATCCATTGCTGCAGCGGTGAAGAGAAATCAACAATCCATCTCCGAGTTGCTTCAGATCGAAGCTCCACCCTCCGATGAGGCCCCCTCGGTGACAGGCTCTCCTCTGGCCTGGTTGACTCCGCCCCTCCTCTGTGCGAATGTCCCAGCTCAGATCCCGTTGTCGGTGCTGCATTGGGAAAAGTGCTGCATCCAGATCTACTTCCAACCTCTCCTGGTAGTATGCCCGCTGAGGTAACCTCGCTCCCCATTCCTGTTGCCGTGGAAGGTTCATCCTCCGGCACAAGTTCAGACATTTCCTCTCCTCCGAAAGACCCTGCCAAAATCGAAGCTCCGAAGCCGCCTCAAATTTACTCGAGCCTTCTCCAAGACCCCCGTCATCTCGAGGCAACTGGAACACCAACCCAACACGTTTTAGGAGCCCGTTCGTGATGATTCCAGATGAAAATATTGAAGCCGCAAAGGAAGAGTTCAAAGACTTTATCTTTGCTCGTTTCCACGGGGATTCTCCGAGTATGGGACATGTAATTGGAGTTGTTAATGTTATCTGGGCTCGTACTGGTCCGAGAATCATAGTCCACCACATCAGCTCAGGTACTTTTCTCCTTCGTGTCTGTAACACCAGAACCAAGGAGTTTATCTTGAGCAGGAATCTTTGGAGCATCGCTGGTTTTCCGATGTTCGTCGCTCCCTGGTCACCTGAATTCAATCCGGAAGAACCGCCTCTCACTTCTGCGGTGGTCCCAGTTGAATTTCGGGATGTCCCTTATTTGCTCTTTAACAAAGAAAGTCTCAGCCGACTAGCTACCGCGGTTGGAACTCCAGTTGCACTGTCCCCGGAAACAGAGCGTAAGGAGACACTCGAAGTCGCCAAAGTGTACATCAGGGTCAATCTCCTTAGTGATCTTCCCTCAAGAGTGATTTCTGGTTTTTCAAATGGTCGTGAAGCTCTGATTTCGATCTCATATCCCTGGCTGCCACAGAAATGTTTTGAATGCGGAAATTTTGGGCATGATTCTAGGAAGTGCCCTACTAACAGTTATCTCCATGCGTCTGGAAGACAAAAGTGCACACCCTCCCCTCCTCCTGTTACTCCGAGAAAGAGAAGATCCCGTCCAGGAAGGTCGAGAGCTAGAAGAGCTAAATCGATCAGAAATGGTGATTCTCTTATGACCTTAGAAGATGGTGAAATTCCAACCAAAGGCTGCGACCCGCCAGAGGTTAACGACCCAGCTTTAGCTCAGGCGAAGGTTGTGGAGGTTGGAAAATCTAAGGAGGATGCTCCGAAGAATCTGATTGATGTGGAAACTGGATGCTCTGTCACTAAGAATTTAGTGCATCCTTCGAAGGAGCTGAGAGATGATGTTGTTTGTCCAAAGTTCGAACAGGGCAATAATGTCAAGACTCGGATAGAACCCAATGGAGGGAAAGGACAGAAGAGGGTTCTTTCTATTGATAAGGTTGCACCTGTGATTGGGGATCAGGATGCTTTGCAGCAGGATGCAGCTTTTGGCTCGAATGGTGAGAGTGATGAGGCTCCGTTCTTCTTGGTTTCCTACAAGAAGAGTGGCCGTAAGGCCACAAAAAAAACACTAATCAATACCATCATGTTTTTTACGTGGAATATTAGAGGGCTTAACAATGCAAGATGCCACACTATGACCAATGATTGGATTAATATCCATAGGCCACTTTTTGGAGCGTTCACTGAAACGCATATTAATCGAATAAATGCTGGGAGAATTAGCAGGGCAATTCCAGTAGGTTGGAACTTTTTGGGGAATTTTGATCATCATGAAACGGCAAGATTAGTTGTCGTCTGGGATCCATCGGTTTCGGTGGTTTTTTACCAAGTATCTGCTCAGGCAATGACTTGTGGTTTTTTCATCCCTGCGGATAATACTAGTATTACAGTTACCTTCGTTTACGGTTTCAGTCAGGTGGAGTCCAGAGTTCAGTTATGGGAAGAGTTGGTTCACCTAAACGATACTACGCCTGTCTCAAGATGTCCATGGGCAGTTGTTGGAGACTTCAACCAGATCTTAAGACACACTCAGCACTCGAGTCACTTAGTTGACGATGTGGACATCTCAGGTATGGAGGATTTCAATCTTGCGCTTCAAGGAGCTGACCTATTTGAAGCACAATCCAAGGGACTCACCTTCTCTTGGTGGAACAACCAAGATGGCAATCCCATATCGAAGAAAATTGACCATGCTCTTATCAATCAAGCATGGTCGAATGCTTTTCCAGATTCTTATTCGGATTTCTTGGATCCTGATCAGTCAGATCACGCCGTTTGCCTCTTTCGGGTTCCCTCTCTTCAAAGGCAAACTCGCAAACCTTTTAAATTTTTTCAACACGTTATCGATCACCCGTTATATGAGGAGTAAGTGAGACAAGCTTGGAATTGTGATAACTTTGTTGGTTCTGATCAGTTCAAGCTAGTCAGAGCTCTAAAAGGTCTTAAGCCAGTGCTGCGGAATTTGAATAAGAGGTATTACAGTGGTATCACAGCTCGGGTCAAGGAGCAATCCAAAAAATTGGCTGCTCTTCAACGACAGCTTCTTACTAGTCCGTCTGCGGATGTTGCAAGGGAGGAGCATGCAGAAAGGGAAAAGTGGAAAACACTCAAAACGGCGGAGGAGAAGTACTTTTACCAGAGATCGCGTGTAAAATGGCTAGATTTGGGGGATCGGAACACAGCATTTTTTCACCGAATTGTTGCGCAGAGAGTAACCAGGAACCATATTCATTTCCTTAAAGACAACAGTGATAGGATGCTCACTTCCGCTATGGACATAAAGTCACATTCTGCAGAGTACTTCCAGGGTATTCTGGGTAATACCGACTTGTCTGAGTCTCCAGTAACAGTTACGCAGTTGCAGGCTCTCCTTCCATTCAGGTGTTCAGACAGTCAGGTCCTCAACTTGCAGAAGGTTACTACCGCTGAGGAAATTAGAGATACCCTTTTCGCTTTGCCATTGAGTAAAAGTCCTGGTCCTGATGGCTACTTCGTTGAGTTCTTTAGGGCTTCTTGGGCTACAGTTGGTAAAGATGTGATCGCTTCTGTATCTGAATTCTTCCGCAACCGCAGACTACTGAGAGATATCAACAACACAGCTATCTCCCTCATTCCTAAGAACCCAGAGGGATGCAAGCTAAGTGAGTACAGGCCAATTAGTTGCTGCAACACTACTTACAAAGTTATTGCCAAGCTCATTGCAAATCGATTAAAACCTGTTCTCGATGATTGCATAAGCTCAAACCAGGCGGCTTTTTTGAAAGGAAGGAGTCTGGGAGAAAATGTCTTGCTTGTCTCGGAGTTGATCCGTAACTATCAGAAAAGCTCATGCCCCAACAGCTGTATGCTGAAGGTGTACTTACGCAAGGATTTTGACACGGTCTGCTGGGATTTCATTCTCAAGGTCCTGGAAGCTCAGGGTTTTCCGCCTTCATTTAGAACCTGGATCAAAGAGTGTATCTCTTCTCCTCGATTTTCTGTTGCCATTAATGGGGAGCTTGCAGAGTTTTTTTCCAGGCAAGAAGGGACTGCGTCAGGGAGATGCGATGTCACCATACTTATTCATCATGGTGATGGAGGTCTTATCCAAGCTGCTTGAGAATGCAGTCGATAATGACTTGGTGAGACTCCACCCTCAGTGTGAAAACCCTCGTATTACTCATCTCCTGTTTGCTGATGACCTATTAGTGTTCTCGGATGGATCTAAACACTCGCTTGATGGCATCAAGCAGGTCATGCTAGAGTTTAAGGAAATTTGTGGGCTTGACATGAATGTGGACAAAACAGAAATTTTCTTTGGAGGCTATGGGGATGCTGAAGCTGCGGATTTAAGTGCTTACTCGGGCATTAAAATTGGCACCTTCCCCACTCGTTATCTGGGTTAACCTCTCAACCCTCAGCATATTTCCCTTGCGACTCTCCAACCTTTCTTGGAGCGAATCACAAGTAAACTGCATTCTTGGACTGTCAAGCTATTATCATTCGCGGGTAAAATCAGGCTCATATCCTCAGTCATCTACGGATTGGTAAATTTCTGGAGCTCTGTTTTTGCTTTACCTAAGAGTTTCTATGCCAAAGTCGATTCTTTATGTTCTGCTTTCCTGTGGAAGAACAAGACTGCTTCAACTGTGGGAGCTAGGGTCGCATGGCGTGAGGTTTGCAAACCGAAAGCTGAAGGAGGATTGGGTATTCGCCTTCTTGCAGACTTTGAGTTAGTATTCAGGTTGAAACAGATCTGAAATCTTTTCTCCTCTTCGGGATCTCTCTGGGTTGCTTGGTTGCAGGCGCACATCTTCTTAAGGAAAGACTTCTGGCAAACAAATGATGCCAGTAGGTTCTCTATCACGGTCAGAAGCATGCTCCAACTTAAACATTTGATCCGGGGTTTCTTAAGATGCGAGATTGGCAATGGTGAATCTGCATCTTTTTGGTTTGACCACTGGAATGATCTGGGCCCGTTGATTGATTTCCTTGGTGAATCGGGGCCTCGCCAGCTGCGTCTCAGACGCGATGCTCGAGTGGTTATAAATGTTTTATCCCAGCTGCTAGATCAGGGGAATGCTTTATCCCAGCTGCTAGATCTCCGCAGGCGCAGTCTTTCCAGGTTATGCTCACATCTCTCTCTCCTCCATGTGACTCTAGAGGTCGGGATGTGTATCTTTGTCGGAATGCCGTAGGAGCTTATACTCCAACCTTCTCCTCAAAATCAACTTGGCAGCAACGCTTGCAATCTCCAACTGTATCTTGGAGTAAGTTTATCTGGTTCAGAGAGAGCATTCCTCGATGCTCCTTTATTGTCTGGTTGGTAATGCTTAAGCGTCTTCCAACTAAGGATAGACTTCGGAGTTGGGGCCTGACTGTTGCTGCCCAATGTTCTCTCTGCTCTAATGGTAGTGAATCACACGATCACCTCTTTTTTGAATGTGAGTTCTCTGCAGGAATTTGGTCACACTTGTGGGAAGTGTTTTCCCTGCTCCTCCTTCGTCGCCTCTTGCTCTGCTTGCTGTGTTGGACCCCCCTCCACTTCATTCTCCAGTCTGTCTTTTCAGCTGCGTTCGCTTTCAAAGCTGATTTGTCAAGTCTGCATCTACCTCATTTGGAAGGAGCGGAACGCTCGCATCTTTAGGAATGAGTCCTCCTCTGTCATCGTCATTCGTCGTGCTGTTGATTGGGTGTTGCGTGATCGCCTTCTCTCCTTTCCCTCCCATCTGTCTCTTCTCCCTCCCTTCTCCAGCTTTATTTCCAGCAATTAGGATCGCTTAGCTAATATTTATAATCTTTTCGCTTCTTTGCTTTCTTGTCTTTTGGTCCTGTAATTTGCTTTTGCAACTTGTATGTTTCTTGAAAACGGTAATGAATTTTAACATGTTACCAAAAAAAATAAACCATCATATTTATACAATGTTATTCGGCGATTTTAGTTAGTGCCATTATTCTAATGTACTGAAATTGAGGCTGATCACGTGCTAAAAATGTGTCAGTAGGCTTTGGGCCGTGGGGGTCTTGTGTGTTGTAGAGGGAGAAAAGTGTAAGTCACGTGGATCCTGGAGAGCTAAAAGGTAAAATCAGTTAAATCATAAGTTAGATTAGTTGAGCTTGAGAATTGAGAGAATAAGTAAATGGTCAGAAACGAAGTTAGTTGAAAAAAAGTTTTAAAACAGGTTATTTGAAAAAGAAATAAAACTATCATTTTTTATATTTATAATTATTAAACATTTTAATTTTCACAAGTTCTTATAGATTTTTTTATTTTACAGAAATACTTCGTAATTGATAAAAACATCTAGAAAATATTGTTTATCTACCCAAATTACTCTGAACAGTATTAGTTCTATCCATATTTGTTGTCTTTTTTTTTTTGAAAGAATTGTCCTTTTTGAACTTGCTACACAAATTTGTAAAACTCATTTATACACACTATCAAAAATTATAGAAACTCATGCTAATTCTGTTTACCGTTAAATAAAATAAATTTACAGTTAAAAATATCTAAATGACAACTGATAAATAATTCTCTAATTTTAAGGTTGAAAATCGCTTTTCATATTAAAATCACTTTTCATATTAAAATGTCAAAAACCTAAATTAAAAACCTAAATTGATTGTAGCTAATTAATCAGGAAACACAAAAAATTTTAATTTTATAAAATTAAATTATTTAGTTATTTTTAACCAAATGGAACAAAATATGTAGTTGTTCCTAATTAGTTTCCAAAAAAAAGGGACATGAAATAATGGAAACCCAAAATTTTGATCTAAGAAATTTGGTTCTTGTCAACCGTTGAGACGTTGTCACGTGCATCAACTGAAGCTGTACTTTATGACGAGTCACCAAAACATAAGTCTCAGATCTGACGAGGAATCTTCTTTTAAGAAGTTAAGAAACTGTCCAGATTGCCCATTATATCAAACCTTCTTTATCTAGTGTTTGATAAAAACATCCAATAATTTCTTCTGTTGGGTCAAATAATTTGATTTGCTTATGCCAAGACAAAATGTACGTTTGTATACACGTATATTATGTATATATAATATAGTTACCACTTACCATTACTCAACAATTTTTAGAATTGCGTCATTGACATAGTCATGCACGCTAAGTACATTATTTATTTAGTGTTTTCTTTTTCAATTTAGTTGTAACCATTGTTTAGTATTTTACGATGTAAGATGTATGAACCATTTTAGCAAAAGAAAAAAAAAAAAAATGTATGAACCATGCATAATATGCGGCTACATCAAATAACTCCATTCCAACAAGTTATAATAATAAATAACATACTCCATTCAGCTAATACGTTAAAATAGTTGTTTTTAAAACATATATCTAATTTTAAGTTGTACGGAGAACAATTAATATAACGAATTATATACTACCAGAAAGACGGTGCCTACCAAAGTCATTGATGATTTTATTATTAGGAGTGGGTTTTTCATCAATAATCTTATTTTTCAAGTAATAGTTGTATGATTGTATCTATATTGAATGCGACGCAGGAGAAGAGAACATATTATTTTTATAATGTAATGTTAATTTTTGTAGCAAGATTATACTATAATGTTCGTTGACATCACTGTATTTGTTTGTAATCTTATTATTATTTTATAAATGTTTTTAATTTGTGATGTCTTATAAAAAAAATGTCAAGCTTTGACTAATCACTCTAAATATAAACACATTTGGACGACCGAAAAAAAACACATTGAAAATCAGTTTCGGTTAGGAGTAGACATTTTTAATCGAACCGAAAAAAACTCTATCAAACTTAAAAATAGAAAACATGAAAAATTAAGATACAAACCAAGCGTACCCAAAACTATAGCAAAACAACAAAACCTACTCAGAGTCGAAGTGGCTTTAGTTCGAGTTTCGTTAATTTTAAGTTTCACTAAACGAAATTAACCAAACAAAACCCAAACGACTGTTGTTAGAATACAACTAAAATCTTGCAAGAATCATGTTAATCGAGCTGTGAATATATATATATATCCATCCCTAAAATGTTACTCAAATTTACACTCACCAGTCACCATCATCGACATTACTCAATTTTAATAGGTCTCACATCTTTAATAATCTTTAATAAGTAATTGGATTCATTTTCTTTTGGTTAAACTATAATAAGAGATTCATATGCTTCTATATATCAATTTATTTTTGATTTTGATTATTAGTCGTTACAAAAGAAAAATGTAGATTATAATCAGCTCATGGCTTAATAGTGTTCGTTGTTTGGGTTATATTTGCTATTACGTCCGAAATTCTAAATGTTTCTCTTTTTTTGGGAGAGTTGTAAATTTAGGACACATTTTGCAAACAATTGTTTTTTGGAATTTTGTCACTTTTGGACATAATTACCCTTTAATTAAAAATTATATTAACTGCAGAAATTCGAATTTAATGTTTAATTTTTTAAAAAATTCGAAAATACCAAATAAGAAAATAAATTAGTTCTCGAAAATCAGTTATGAAAAGTTTTAATTTTTAAAAAATTATTTTCCACAATACATAGAAAATGTATTCTACATTCTAGGGTTTTCTAGAATATGTTTTCTAGATATTCTTCTACAATCTATGAAACCTAGAAATGATGTTCTATATATTCTTCTTCATTCTATGATACTTATAGAATATGTATTCTACAGATTCTTCATCGTTATACAACTTATGAAACATATATTCTACACTTTTCATTATGTTCTACATTTTACTAGAATATATATTTTACAGATCTTTTTTTGTTCTACGTAATGTAGAAATGTATTCAACGAAGTTGTTAAGAGAATCTGAGAAAATCTAAGCTTTATGTGCTTAACCACCAAAGAGAATATTTCTAAATATTTATTTTCCATTTCTTCTCCCGCGTTTTTATGCCCAGAATTTTGATACTGTTAAAGAGGATAATTATCCTCATATTTTCACCGCCTTACACTTGTGGATAAGTTTCACTTTTACCGACTTGCTAATATTTTACTCTTTTCTTGTATCTATAAATAGACACTTCATGTGGTGTAACAATTATTCTACACACAAGTGAAATAATCAAACACTCTTCTTCCTTCTCTCGCTTACATCTCTTCTCTCTCAAACAAATATATATAATCTTATCATATATATACATACAAACACATATATACATAAACACACATATATCCTCACCTATATATCATATAATATATAATACGTTATCAGCACGAGCGTCTCTTGATCCGCTCTTATACCTAAAAAGGTAAAATTTAAATTTATGTTTATTTCAAGTTTATGTATTATTTCGGGATGATAGGCTCTGCCTTCCCCGAACCGTTAATTTAAATTTATATGCTATTTTTTTTTACGGGATGATAGGCTCTGCCTTTCCCGAACCGATCGTTAAGATAGGCTATG